TATTCTTACCCATCATTTTAGTTTGAGTCTAAATTGGACACATAGTATTGGAAGTCCAAAAGAAAAGATGGGTACCCAATTGTAAAGGAATTTATGTCTTATTTTCTGTTATGAAAAAATAAAAATGTGTTAACGCCTTTAGTAAAAATGTATAATTGGGTTGAAGATAACTAATGAAATGATTGATATTATTTTTTGATTTATAAAATCATCTAAACTCAATTAGACCCATTTGGGTCCAACCCAAATGAATTTATCCAAATAGGACTCAATTCAGATCCAACCCAAATCCAATACCATTAAAAGTGAAAATAGATCCATTTGAGCCCGAGCAAATACCCATATGAGTCCTGAAAATTGGATCACATTATCCAATGAGTCTAACCATTGCAATTTCTACTTTCAAGGGATTTTGATTGTGGTGATTGAGAAAGGGGGCTTAAAGTCTTACGTATTAGCTATTACTCTATTTTCAAAAAAAAAAATTATAAAATTTGATGTAAATTTACCTACTCATTTTACAAACAAAATCAAAATGAAATTTAACTCCATAAAATGTGGTCAATCCAAATTATTAGGGAGGAATATAGAATTTTTGGAGTTTGATTTAATTGAATAACCACAATCTTACATAAATTAGCACCACTAAATTATGTATATAATCACCAAATGAGATAAATAACCTTCAATACGTGAATTATAGGCATTGTCTCTCCTGTGGAGACTGGAGAGACAACAAACATTTTCCTTCATTTTATTAGTGCAAAGTGGCCACCATACTGTCTGTACTCCCATTTGTACTTCTTCTCTTCCAGCCAAAGTTTACTGACTGTGTTTCCCACCTTCATGGATCCTTTTATTATTATAGAGTATACCAATCACGATCATTCTCTGCATATTCATTAACTAATATTTTGATTAAGCACCATTAATCCTACATAAGCAAATCTGGCGAAAGCACCCAGAAAGGATCGAGGTGAAAACTTTTACCTTTCTATCGTTTTGTGTTTTGTTCGATTAAAGAATGGCAAAAGTGAAACTCTTTGGTACGCTGTAGCAAAAGCCAAAAAGGAAGAGAAAAACAAAAGGTGAAAAGAAGCATTAACTGCTAATGCTAAATCGTTATCATCCTCATCATAATCATTGACCACTGAGGATGCCGACTGATAACAATAATTTATTTGCCACAATGGTTTTACCATGGATTATAATATTTAGATGTAAATTTACACAATTTTAAGAGTTTGATCACGATTACCGTAACTCTGCCACTCAGTTCCATTGATATTAAAAAGCCCAAGAATGAATTACAAAGTTTGGCAACATAACCCATAAAAATATACAACTAAGGACACTAAATGCCCAGACTGAACAAAGTTTGGCATGGATATCCTGCTTTTTGTCATGTTATGAAAGGTTATTGCATCTTTTGCTAAACAAGTTTCCGTAATCATCCTTAGTATCCCATTCTCGCCTGTCCAATGAAATCCATGCCAACCCCCAAATATAGAATCCCAATACTAGCCATTAGAGAGTGAGAGACCATATTAATAGCACAAGGAAATAAAAGGATTTTCTATGGCTGCGTAATACAAGTGTCAAATGAAATTGGATTTATAGATTAGTAGATTAATGAATTTGATTAAATGGATGGTATCTAAGTAGCATCTAAATCTTGAATTATTATGAAAATTTTGAAAAGTTTAGCAGTAAAATGTCATTAAAAATATTTTTAGGTACCAAAATGAATTTTTATGATATTTTTCAGTAATTCATCAATCCAGTTATTCGATTGAATTTTAATAAAATAAATTAGATTTAAATGAATTGAATTACTTAAATTTTTTTAGTGGATGTTGATTGGATTCAAATTGCCAAAGCCACCAAACGATAATAATGGAAGGACAAAACTTTCGAAAGCGAAGACCAAACTCCCTCTCTCTTAGGACTCATCGAAAAACATCAACATTGCATCGGTGAATTGACCTTATATTCACGAGTTTAAAGTTAAACCAGAAAAAATTACGTATCAAAGGAGCAATCTTCATCTCGATCATTAGTATTCATCCTAAGAGACCATCATGCCGAGTAAAGTATAATGAGTACTTAGATATAGGAATGGAAATGGGATAAGTCGAGGCATTGTGGATATCTCGATACTCATATATGTTTCATGATGGGTCAAATATTTTGTCTTGAGAAGCTGGTCGGGTTAGGTTCACCAATTTAGGTATGTAATTTTTTTAAAAAATAAATTTGACCTGGTCCTTAAGAGTATGTAATTTAAAGTTGAAAAAAAACACACTTGAAATATTGATATTTTTCATTAATAAGTCAAGAAACAAACTATGGCATGATACATGTAATTATATTATTCAAGAAGTTGAGTTTTTCACATATTTACACCTTTATCATAGCTAAAATATGACGTAATAAAATTAAAATTACGTATAATTAAGATAAAATGTGTTAAAGATGAAGTGGCGGGTCCGAGGTAGGTCATGAGAGTATACATACTCCTACAGACAGGGTAGTACTCGCTCAGGAGTGGTCCAATAGGGCAGGCCGAAATTATCATCTCTAGTTAGGAAATAGAGGTTCACACCCTTTTGGTCCCCTTTTCCTTCCATCGCCATCGGCCCATCACCACCGCTACTATTGTCTTAACGTCTAACGCCTTGTTGAACCTTGCAACTAATAGTACGAGATGGTGAATTACATAACAATACTAATATATCTAGCTAGGAGGAATGAACACCTACTAAATCCTATTGTTCATTCACCAACACTATCAAAATCATCAAACCGAGTAAACTACAATGAGTACTTAGGCAATGGAGTGCGGTACTCATGGAAGGCCACACCCTTTTTTTGGTCCCCATTTTCCTTTGCCTTTCTCATCACCATCACCACCACCACCACCACTATCGTTTACTAGTTATTGTGACCTTTCAATCTTCATCACCTTGTGTGGCGCGGCCCAATCCCGTCCCTATTGGGATTCCACTCCCACCAATAATAATATATAGTTTTTGTAATAAAACAATAAATATTCCAAATTTTCATGGAAAGCGAAAAGAAAATAATAAGTTTAATGAAAACATTAGAGAAAAAAATATTGGCAAGTTGAGTGTCCTTTCGGAACTCCTATACCGTATCGTTGCTGGTACGAATCTCACTTACAGATTAAAGGGTTAAAAAGGAAAAAGCCAAAAATAATTAATTAAAGAGGAAAACACTGATAATGATGATTAAAAGTTAAAGAGGGAGAAGATGATGAATATGAATGATAATGATGGATGGAGCATAAATATTAACACCTATGGCTATGTTTTTTTTTTAAAATAATATTTCTACATTTTATATAATAATAATAATCATTATTTTATATTTTTATATAGCATATCCGACCATTAATAATATGTCCCAATTCATTTGCCAGAGGCCAATTTATATATTTATTATTAATTTAATACTGCAAATGACACGCCGTTATATTTATGGGCCACCTTTATAGGGTATTTTGATTTTTGTCATATGGAAATCTTGTTTCTCGAGGGTCGGTTGATCAGTTCTGTACCAGATTCACTTTCAGTAGGGAGAAAGAGAATCTTTATCTGTTAGATCAATTTCAGATGGTTGTTAAATTGTTTTTCCATGCTAAGAATCCATATATATATTTCAAACTGAAGCTTAAGCGTACATATGCTATAGCTTTCTCAAGCCATCCCTAGCTAAAACCAACAGAGTCTATGACTTAAGCGTTCCTAACTAGAGTAGGACCGCAAAACTAGACTGGACGTTTGGAAGAGAGAAAAAAAAAAAATCAAATCAAATCATTCAGTTTGGTCTGGATCATAGACAGTTAGTAATAGTTTCGTTTGGTCTATAGTATGTATTATGTGATGCTTTAACCTCTTGGTCTAGTACGGTCCGCGATATCCTTTTATTAGATCACGCTATGAACCCAACTCACTTCCCATTTCGTATTAGTAGCCTATTCGGTCACTCTCTCTACTCGATCCTCAACAACACCCAAACCTCAACCCTAATTTACAATAATTTAAGGTGTAAAAACTTTGCATGGTGTATAAAAAAACTCTTCAGCTTGCTCAAGTTGTTCTACTCTGGTCTAGACACAGTACCTAATAAGATCGCACGGACGTGATATGGTTTGTGTTCCATCCATCGATCTGGACTATGACCATTCAGACCCGACCATACCATTTCTAGTCTAAGTTAAGATAAAAGACAATTTTTTTTATTTATTTTCTTTTAGTTTGACGACATGGATCATCTAGCTAGTCTGAGGTTCTTCCATCCTAAACCACTAAAATAAATGTACTCGTTTTGGACAGATTAAATCATAAAATCGATCTTTTAATAAACGAAAACTGGTACTAACGAAGAATAAGATACACAAAATGTGCATCAATGGCCCAAATTAAACAAAAATCATAAATATTTTCTTCCAAAACAAAGAAAGGAATTTCTTTATTCCACACATTATGGAGATGTAGTTCTAACAGCACTATTTTAAGTCAACTCCACTATAAATTCTTTTCCCAAGTCACTTAAATTTCTCAAAATTCAACTTCATCGAGGTACTTCCTTCCTTGGGGACCCTTATTGCCATATGCCAAAGGGCAAACAATTGCATCCTTATACAAAGATACGATATGTGTAGTGATAATGAGTGGTCGGCAAAGCAACAAAAAGTGGAATAACGAAAGAAAATGATAGAAGACTCTCTAAATAATATCCCTCCAATACCTCCCCAAAACCATACACTACCACAAAAATAATTAACAAAGAATTTCCAAACAAATAAATTCTAAAAATGCCCACACCATATTTTCTTGATTCCACTTCAAATGATTTTTCTTATAATCTAATTAATAACCTCCACGTACACTAGCAAACCATATCCCACATAATCATCACACCATTAATCAATTATTTTTTATAAAAAAAATTGTCCTTTCAAAAGAATCAAGCCACTAAACATGATCAAGCTTGACCCCAAAACCCAACATTAAAAAAAAAGTAATAATACCCACTTGTGTTTGAAGAATTTTGTGCTTTTTCCACCCACTCCTTTCCCTTCTCTCTCCCAATATATAAATCTCCATGGTTTGGCCTCCATGATTCCTCACCACTCTTGGCCTTCCTAACCCAAAACAAGAAATTCCCTCCATCTCTCTCTATCTCCCTCCCAACTCAAGCTCAAGGGTAGAAACTAGCAACTAGTGAAACCATGCAAGAGAAGATGAAGGTGAAGAAAGGGTGGCTAGCGGTCCAAGTTGGTTTGGAAGAAGAAGATCGTCGCCAAGGTTATGATACATCAAGAAAATTCGTGATCCCAATCTCTTACCTCTACCATCCACTCTTCAAAAACCTTCTTGACAAAGCCCATGAAGTGTTTGGTTACCACGCCGCCGGCCCGCTGAGGCTGCCTTGCTCGGTGGATGATTTCCTCCACCTCCGGTGGCAGATTGAGAGGGAACCCGATCACCACCACAGCCACAGCCACCGCCACCACATCCACCGTGGCGGCAGCAGCAGCAGCCACCACCATCATCATCTCCTTCCGACGGCGTTTTCCTTTCACTCTTGTTAACTCGATTTTCCTTTTTTTTTTTCCTCCCCCGAATATATTTACATATAGAGAGACACGTGGTCGTCACTTGGCGTCTCGTTTTTGAGAGGTCGAAAAGGGAATAATTTCATTGCCTTTTGGTGGTCGTTTCAAGCAATTTCCCCAATTAGGGGGATTTTCTTGTTTTACAAGCGATGTTGGTCGGAGATTCCAACTTAATTAGGGTGGGAGAATTGATGAATATATGTACAAAAGTTTAGGCCATTACCCATTATGTGCTTCTTTCTTCTTCCCTATACCTGGTTTTTTTTGTGGGTGTATGGATGGATGGATGATTGGTCTCCCCCTTTGGATTGTGATTTTGTAATCTCTGTTCAAGTTAATTATGCGTGTGGATGAGATCTCTTGTTTATATAGTTAACACAATCGTTAATCAAGGAAGTTGGATGTTGGGTTCATGGCAAATCGATGATATGTTGGGTTTCTTGACTCAAATTTATCGTGTGATGGGTAGACGTCGCAAATGGATGGGTGGATTGGATTGATCGGTGGATTCATGGATTAAGGTCGATTGATTTGTAGATTGGATTTATGGTTCAAAATGTAAAACTAAAATAGTTCAAGTACTAAAATTTTATGTATCAGTTTATAATTTTTTGAGTGATTTTTTCTTTAAAGAAAAAATTAGATAGAAAAATATGAAATATAAAAAAATTAGATACTAAATTTTCAAATATACATGAATCCAGTTAATAAATCCATAAATTTAATTGAATTTGGATTAAACAGATTGGATTAGTTGGATTTTTAAATGAATGATTTGAATTATTTTGGTGGATTGGATCAAATTCCCACTTCTAGTGATGGGTCTTTTATAATTTATTCAAGCATTAGTAAATGTAAATCCCAATATTAGTAGTATGTATATCGATGGTTGATATAAAAATTATTAATATTTTTCAACAACTTAAATTATCGGGATGCTGTAGTTTTGACGACAACAACCTCATTTTCATTGTAATATGTAAAAAATGCATTAGATTCTAGGGAGTTAGAGAGGGACCAGATCAGGTTAGTAACTGATGGGTCAGTAACCCATTAGTAGCCCCTTTCCTTGTCTCCACGTGTCAGTCCCTTTTTTTATTTAAATTAAATGTGAAAGGACCGTAAAGTAAAATTGCTCCTGCCCCTATTTATTGCCAATCCTGACTTTTGACCAGACCACGTCAGCGCCTCCTCTCTCCTCGAAAAACTTTTAATTTTCATTCTCTTAATCTTTAACAGATGATTTCTCACTCGTTTTAAGTCGGAATTTAATTTTTTTGCACAGTTAGATAAGATTAATTGTGTTCTTCAAAATGATATCCACTTTGATATTTTTTTGACATAAAAAAATTTGCCAGTTATTACCAGTCTATACCATATGGTATTGACTGGTATTAAATAAGATCATACCATATGGTATGAAAAAATTTGCCACATCAATATATATTACGTTACCAGTTACCACCCAATACCATATGGTATAGTGTGGTAATATCAATATATATATTTCGTTACCACCCAATACCATATGGTATAGTATGGTAATATCAATATATATATTTCGTTACCACCCAATACCATATGGTATAGTGTGGTAATATCAATATATATTTCGTTACCACCCAATACCATGTGGTATAGTGTGGTAATATCAATATATATTTCGTTACCACATAATACCATATGGTATAGTGTGGTAATATCACACAATACCATACAATACCATATGGTATAGTGTGGTAATATCAATATATAATTCGTTACCACACAATACCATACATTACCATATGGTATAATGTGGTAATATCAATATATATTCTGTTACTATCGAATATCATATGGTATAGAGTTATAATATCAATATATATTATCTAAAAGAAAAAAAACAGAAGGAGGTAGAGAAAAAAAATCGTCTTTTGTCGCCTCTCATTTCCTCTTTCGCAATCAAGAACACAAAAATGCCGAAAATGAGAAAGATCGAAATTGAGGCCAACGAGATGATGAAGAGAAGAAATGCAATGAAAGAGAGTGGTTGCAATTTTTATTCGTCCTGGAGAAAAAAAAATAAAGAAGAAGAGAAGGGATCAGATTTAGATCTCAAAAGGAGATTGAGAGAAAAAAAAGGAAGAGAAAGGATCTGGAAAAGAGATTGGGAGAGAAAAAGGAAGAGAGAAGGAAGAGAGAGAGATAAATGAGAGTTGCAGAGAAATAATGATTTCTCTTTCCTTCTTTGAAAATGCAGTCATTTAATACGAAATAAAATAAAATAAAGAATTTAATATATAAACGGACAAAAATACCCTTCTCTACTTAGCATCCGGCCCAACCACACGATGATGACCTGCCTCCTAGATCTACGGTCACTATTTATTACTGACCTGTCAGTAACCAAGTGGTTACTGACCCTATCTCCTGCCAATCAGAGAGGCTCAAAACTTAGAGTCGGAGGGCTATTGGTATACCATAAGGACAAGCGTGCATTGTGATTGTTGAGTGGTAAGGTTTGATCCTCGACATATTATTTATGAGAATGAGATTCTAGTTGAATGATGTTACTCGAATTATTTTTCACGATAATATGTTATTAGATATGTTTTATTGGGACTTATGTTAAACTTCCAATCTTACTTGGAGTTTGGTTGAGATTTGTTGTCGATCACATTGCTAATCCGGTCGATTACAAGGTTGGTCAGGTCAATTACAAGGCCAATTAGCTAGAGTGCTAGACCACAAGGTTGATTACGTAGATCACTTCTTTTTCTGTAGAAATATTGATGATAGGTTTTGTAGAGTTTTGTCAAGTCTCAACCAATAGTAATCTGGGTGAAGTCATTGAAGATTTCAGAAACCAAAAGAATGAACTTAATAATGAGGACATTCAAGAAGCACAACTTAAAACATTCAACAGAAGCTGAAGCATGAACTTCATAACGTCAAATCCAGAAACCAGAATGCACTGGAGAAGTAGCAAAAAAACAAAACATTCAATAGAAAACATCCAATCCTAAACTACCATCAAATCCAAAATGACCAAGACCATTGTATCATCAAAACAAAAGTTTAAAAGACTAGCAAAACATCTCTACTACTCGAGAACAGCTTCGATAGCAGCAGCAGCACAACAGCATGATAAAGACTTCACTTTAGGCCTCCATACTCCACTTTCCAGCAGCAACAACAATGCAGCATTCTGCATTCCTTGGGTTTGTGACAGTCCCATTTCCAGTAGGTGCAGACAGAACTGGATTTGCACTATTTCCATTATCTTGTGGAGTGGGTTGAAACTCCCTCTGTTGACATTGTTCCTGCCGAAAAAACAGAGGAACAAGGATTAGTAGGATATCAATCGACTCCCTCAATCATTAACCAACACCAATGATCAAAATTGAAACAAAGAAAGTGGATATTTACCTTGAACAAACAGAGTGAGGCACAAACAACGGGTGGGAATGGATGTGAAGATGATTCTCGCACGCACAAGGCCACAAACCAAACAAGCAGTAAAAGGATGAGAAGTCAGTCTGAGAACTGAGAAACAAAGTACTCAGATTGAGACTTGAGAGAAGTATGAACAAAAAAATAAACCCCACCCCGTATTTATACTCCAACTTCAATCTCCAGCCGAATCGACTGTTCGACTTCACTGCGAGAAATTCTCTTTGCATGCGCCAAGCCATGATCGAAAGGGAAATGATTATCATCATCGGGAAGGAAAAAGGATAATCGATGGGAGATATGCGACCGATATGTTAGGGATTCGATGCAGCGGGAGCAATCGGATCGCTAGAATCTAGGCTAGGGTTGGAGGCGGAGAAGAAAATGGGAGATGAAGAGTTTAGTTGAGGGGAATAATCTAACCTAGGGTTTCTGATTAGAGGGTATATATATGTATGGGGCGGAGTCGGGGCGGATAGTTTCGAGTCTGAAGCCCGCCCGAAGCCCGTTTCTCTTATTCTTGGGTTAATCCGAGTCCGGCCCGGAGCCCATCATCAACGGATTTTGCCTGATTTTGTCGGGTCGGGTTCGGATCGGATTTTCTGGTTTCGATTCAATTTGCCAAGCCTACCCAGAACCTCGAATCCTTCTGGCTGAGTCATGTAAATTTCTTCCTCCAACTCTCCATGTAGGAAAGCTGACTTCACGTCTAGCTGCTCGAGCTCCAAGTCATAATGTGCCACTATTGCTAGTAGAACTCTGATCGAAGTATGTCTGACCACTGGTGAGAAAATCTCATTGTAGTCAACTCCTTCCCTCTGCCAGAAGCCTCGTGCAACCACTCGAGCTTTAAATTTCATGCCCTCTTTAGAAGTGATTCCTTCCTTCTTCTTGTAGATCCACTTGTTTGTAACAATCTTCCTTCCCTGTGGTCGTTTGACTAGCTCCCAAGTCTGATTCCTGTCATGGGATTCCATCTCATCTCCCATTGCGGCAAGCCACTGATCAGCTTCGCCACCCGAAACGGCTTCTCTATAGGACTGTGGCTCACCTGCATCCACTTCTTCAGCAACTTGAAATGAATACGCCACCATGTCCTCGAAACCATACCTCTCTGGAGGTACTCCTGCAGTCGCTCTCTTTGGTCTACCGGAAGCTATAGACTGTTGAGCTCCTGCACTGGACTTTGAAGTTTCTGGCTCTGTAGAAACATCATCATGTTGATCTTCTCCACCTTGGTGCTCAAACTCACTCTCATTGAGAGTTTGCAGCTCCACCTGCTTATCAACATTTCTGCTACCTTCAACAACAGTAACCTTCAACATGGGGTTAAACATAGACTTCTCATCAAATATCACATTTCTACTGAGTATAACTCGATGCTCAGAAGGTGACCAGACTCGAAATCCCTTAACTCCATCTCCGTAACCCACAAATACATCCTTCTTTGCCCTTGGGTTTAGTTTACCCTCATCCACAAGATAATAAATAGTACACCCAAAAACATTCAGTGAAGAGTAATCAGCAGGCTTACCATACCACACCTCATATGGAGTCTTCAACTCGATACCTGTGTGAGGTCCACGATTGATCAGGAAGCACGCCATGTTCACTGCTTCTGCCCAGAATCTTCTCTCTAGTCCAGCATTAGAGAGCATGCACCGTGCTCTCTCCAACAATGTCTGGTTCATCCTTTCTGCAACGCCATTCTGCCGGGGTGTATCTCTCACAGTCCGATGACGGGCAATCCCTTCATCCTTGCAGAATTTGTTGAACTCAGAATTACAGAACTCCAGACCATTGTCCGTTCGCAACTTATTGATCTTCTTCCCGGTCTGATTCTCCACCAATGTCTTACACTGCTTGAACTTCGTGAAAGCCTCACTTTTCTGCTTCATCATGAAAATCCAAGTAAATCTCGAATAATCATCAATAATAGACAGAAAATACATGCTGCCTCCAATGGATTCA